AACGACATTTTTGGTTGAAACAGTTTCCAATGATATGATCATCATGAATGCCAAATTGGAAGCAGTCGTGGTCTATTTTAAAGTTATATCTAAATGTCTGCCTGTACCTGCAGCTATTAATGATTTGGCACACCGATTCTACCCGGTTTTGAAAAGGATGAGAGCAGTTTTTCGCTTCAGATATATTAACTATGCATAAAGCTCGCCTTATCTCTACATAAGATAATAGTACTACAAACTGTGCTCATAACAAACGAAACCGGACGTTAGCAGAATTGTCGGTAATGTGACCGGAAGCGAAAGTCATACAAAAACTGTAAATACAGAGACCTGTGTTTTTTTTATATATCACTTCATTTATAGCCCACGTAGCACAAGGCTACAATTTTATCTGAAAAGCGACGGACTAAAAACAATGAACAAAAGTTATATTCAGTGTTGCCAATTGATACGTAAGCTGTGTTCTCAATATGCGTTTTCATTTATTAAAAACAAAATATTTCTTTTCTGCCTTTATTTTTGGTGCAGGAAAAGAGGAAAACTTATTTAAGCAATTTGAAATTTTCAGTTCTGTGCATAGGCTATGTTCATTTACGTAGATGTCAGTACAAAAACTAATAAATAGATTGTATGCGAGGGTCTTGAACAGTATGACACAAATTGAACATAATGAAACAATCTTTATTACAATATAAAATTTGCTTGCCTATTTGCATCTGGCTATATACTCTCGAAAGAAAGACTTCCGACAAATCGAAACCATGTTTCTCCATTTACAACTTTTATACATGTATTGCATCTAAAAACGGAAACTGAACACCCATTAATATGTGCAAAAAAAATTGCAAAAAGCACAGCTGGAAATTGTGTGATGCAGCACAACGTTCCCATTTTTATTTTCAGTGCGAAACTCTTTTCTACAAAAATGTAGATGGCAACTTCAAGAAGAGCCCAATCGGCATAGCAGCTGCTCCATGCTGCGAGGTCATGTTTGAGAATGAACTATTTAAACGCATTATGGAGAACCAAAATGTTCCTAAGGCGTGCCCCTTTACACCGGTAAGTAGTCATATACACTAACTACAGAGCGTCCCACTTAACGTGGAATCCGCCAAGACAGCAGCGAGCGAATTACCGGGAAATACGTTACTCGCAACGCAGAACACAGCCGTCGCTTGCTGGTAGATCAGTTCAGAGTTACGTGGGGCACCCTGCAGTTTACATATGTACGTTAATTCTTACTTTAAAGACCGTGACGCAAATGCAGTGATTTTAAAATCTATATAAGGTAACTATTCTGTCAGAAGAAAGTGTAGCAGAAGTTGACGGAAACTTTTTAGAAAGCAGTCACTTTAAAGACGGTGAATAAGATGGAAATACAACATCAACCTCGATATTAAAAATTATGTAGATGGCTGTCGTCTGAGATGTTGCACTGTGTAGTCTAGTACAGTGGTATTCAACCTGGGGTACGCGTACCCCCGGGGGTAAGCGAAGACATCTTAGGGGGTACGTGAAATTTAAAAAAAATATATTATTTTATAATAAACACTGAATAATCAGTAATGTAATTTATTTAATTTATTTTAGATGTAGATTATATACTATGTATAACTTGAATTATACACCAACAACTTTCGGGGTACAAAGTTGAAGAGAAATTATATCTGGGGGTATGCGAAAAAAAAAGGTTGAATACCACTGGTCTAGTAGATACTGACAGACGTTTCAGAGGAGTTAACTTCCTCCGTCACCTGACGATGGAAAGGCACTAAGCACCTCTGCGTTGCCGATCAGTCTCTACCAGACTACACTACGCAACATCCCTGAAGACAGCCATCTTGATACTCGTCGCCATCAGAAAACGAAATCTCAGCTGTAGTCTTATTCCATTTAAATTTCAGAAGCAAAGCCGAGGGTAGATTTTGACGATGGCTTTATTCTTGTTTTGTTTTTCAGGGGACGTATTCCGTGGAAAACTACGCTCTAGACACAAGTAAACACAAAAACCCTCCCAGAGGAGAATACCGAGCCAACTTCACAGCATCCCTCCCATCAGAAGGAATTATCTACGGGGTGCTTCTCACATTCAGCATTGTTGACAAAGCTTAAACTTTTTAGGGGTTTCGCTCAAGCAACTCCACTTCGTCTACTGTGTCAGATGTATAATATTATCACCATGTATTTCAGTATTTGAAGATAAATTGTCTTCATGGAATATAACCCGTCTTAAATTTCCAGTAAATTTCTCCACAAATATTTCCAGTAACCTACCTATCCCTTGTGGGTGACTATGAATGAAAGATCTGAAAGGATATAGAAGAAGAAAGCGGACTTCGCCTATTTAATGATGACTATCCAAAAATTCGTGTGGACCGAACAACGAAAACCACCAACGTTTCATGCAGGATGGCAGACCGAAATTCGAGCCCAAGAGCGCCCCCTTCCCACAACGAATATGTTACCCGCTCGAACGCGACGTTCTATTTTATGTTAATATCTCACATTTTGTAGATTTACATCACAGTGGAATTTTATATTAATTGTAATTGTTAATTACCACACACCTGAGACTTAATTTAGACGTTTAGCATGCTTATTAATATCCTTAATCAACCTTCCATGTACCCCTAGGTCTCCCAACATGAAACGTGCCGAAAAAAGTGTATTTAATTTATTATTGAATTAACCATTTAAAGCCGAAGCTCGTCTAAATATTATTTTTAGCATTCAGTCCGTACAGGGATAAAAAATGCACCTTTAAAAAGATCAACTGGTAAACGCTGTTTAATTAAATAATCGCTGTCTACTCTGGAAATCATATATACCCATACGGCAAAGCAGATAATCACCGGTCAAAAAAGAACATTCCGCTCAGCGGTGTTCGCTCCATAGGTACACACCTCATTCGTTGCACAAAACGGATAATTGGCAGTACTCGGAATATGAGCAGTGTTTTACACAACCCCCGTCAGATGCCAGGTTAAATGACGTTGACAATGACGCCAAAGGCATTTACCGAGAAGTTGCATAAATACACACACAGTACAGCGATTTATGTCGCCAAGTAAGGCAGCATTCGAAATGGTGTAGCAGAAGACTGTGCACGCTGTGATGCGGGGGTTGTGAGGAACGCCCTGGCGCCAGTCATCCTGAGCAGCAGGTGACGTTTTCATGCCTGCGCCAGGGTCACCGACACGCACAGCACTGGACCGGTTCGTGTAAGCGCGGCGACTATTTTGGATTCGATTCCCGAATACCGGCGCTTCGCTAGTAAAGCTGTCAGGATCGAACGCCCGAACAACTGATTAAGCATAACTATTTCGCACGACACTCTGTAAAGAAATATGTATTTGCATCTTCACCACAGTTAAGTCGTTTCACTACATACTCAGTACTTAAAAGTAAAATGAGATAATCTTCCAAAACATGTGAGTAAAATTCGATACATGTGACAGACGTCAGTAAACTTCTACCAGACTACAGGTGCACCATTCAAACGACAGCCTCTCGTTTGTGATCCCACTGTTTCTTTTGACACTTCCAGACTAGTGTAACCTGTATTTCCAGAATTCTCGGGGCAGTCCGAATCCACCGAGAGGTTAAACAAGCATACCCTGGAATTCATAAAATGCGTCATTTCGACGATAAAACACGCGCAGGTGACTCATTATAAGAGCTTTCCTTGTCCCCCCTTTTTAATATCCGTGGCTTTACTTCAGTGTCATTAGGAGCTTCAATATCCCATCCGTGGCAACAGTAGAAGCTGCGCAGGCCCTCTGAGTTGCGCGCGCAGTCTTGCTGACTCGCCCTACCATTTTGACTCTGGGGACTGCAAATTAAAGCCTTTCACGATGTATAACTAAATAAAATCCACAGGAATTTACACGTTTCCGTCTTACGCGTTTCTGATACACGCGGCGATTCGCAGGAACGCAAGCCCGCGTATAATGAGAGTCACATGTGCAGAAACATCGAAACAAATTATCCATGATATCAGAAAGACTCGACAACACTGCATTCTGTTTTCAATTATCTTAGCGCAAGGTATTATATACTTTCCCGCTCAAGCAGCCACAAGAGCGTATCGGCCAGTGTAGTAATAAATTTGTGGACTGTACAACCCGGGGTCACACAGCCCGCGACCTCACGACGTCTGACGTCATCGCACACCAAGGCGTGTGGCAGGAGTGCCGGACACACGTCGACTCTTCTGTCACTGGTTTCCAATCGCTCAAGATGCGCTTACATTTGGGGGTCATGTACCAAAGCCACGGCTTCCACGTTGAAGCCTGTTCATTGTACAACACAGGAATGCACAGCCTTGTCGCCACGGGGAACGGATTTCAGGGGGTGGAGTGCGGGGATGTCAAGCGCACAAAACAGACAAATGGAGGAGTGGAAACATGTAAAAGGCTGGAGTACACACATTTTCCAAATGCTTTCCTTTGCGTTCTCTCACACCGCACTGACCTTGATCTTAATTCACTGCAGATACAAATATAATCACAGCACAGAGATTACATTGCAGAAAATCAGAAAAATTATTTCCTTATATTTCATTAAATATTCACCGCAGAGAAATATATTTCTAAAAAGTTGTTGAAATCAAAATAATCTGTATTTGATGTTACGTTCCAATTTCTGTTTAGATCTTTGATGAACCATTTTTGACAAAAATCGATAAAGATATTCTTGGCATCAACTGAACGAAAACGTACCAAAATTAGAATGGCCTCAGTAACAAATTTCATCGTTATCTGGCCAAATAAAACAAATAAACGGAAAGGGGCTATCTGCCCATCATGCGTTCATTTTATGCACTTTGTGCACAAATTATTGGCTCCGTCGAAACGCATTATATATCACCAATACACGCACTTCGAAGCAAACAGTAAACTTCAAAGTTGTTGACAAGACTACTTGACGAAAAGCGGGTACAAAATTATACATAGCTAAGAAAATCTGTGTACATAAAAATCCTTGCTCTAAAGAATGCAGACACACAAAAACAAAACACGTGTTGAATGACGCTATCGATGATAGACCGGTATGTGTATTTATTTATTTAGTGTTCTGTCTGACTACAGGTCCATATGAACAGGATCCTTCCATCCTTTTCTTGGACTGGGACCTGTTCATATACGTTCTTGGCAGATGATCCAGAAGTGGTTTGCCATTGCCTTCTTCTGTGTGTGAATGGAGTAATTGTTGG